AAGAAAAATCAACTCAGTGGAAAAATGGGCAAAAGTCACGGACAGGAAATGAAAATGACTTTAAACCTATGAAACGATTATCAATGTCATTCCTATTAAGAGCAAAGCAAATCAACACTACAAGGGAGACCATCTCAGGTCAATAAAGAAAACACTTTCTCTAAGAGTGTAGTAACAAGGATGTGGGTAAGCAGGCTCTATTGCGCATTGCTATTGAGATTGTACATTGTATAGCTGAGGGAATTTGTTGCTGGCAATTAAGTATACAAGAATCTTTGCCCCAGAGATTCCACTCTTATTAATTTACTCTGTATTTGCATATGCACACAAAGACATGTACATGGATGTTCATGAAGCTTTGTTTATAATAACAAAACAGTGAAAACAATTCAAATATCCATCTTTAGGGGACTCAGTAATTTAACTTAATATTTCGTACATGGAATAGCATTACCTATTGTTAAATAAAACAGCAGTTCTAAATGTAAAAATATAGATAGAACACTATCTCTGAGATATATTAAAAATGAAAAGATAAAACTGCAGAAGAGTGTGAACAGCATGCTTTATTCAAAGGAAGGAAGGGCAGGAGGGAGAAAAAAAGAAAAAGCATATCACAAGTATGCATAGAATATTTAGGAAGGATATATTCCCTCTGGAGTAGCCTCTAAAGAGGAAAGTGGTTGTCTGGGAGTCTGTATCAGAGGAAGGCTTACTTTCAACTGTATATCTTTTTGAATTTGATTCCAAGAGCAAATATTACATAGTGAAATAAAGTAAGTAACAAAATAAATTCAAAACAAAGATGGTCAGGGCAGAATGCTGTGACCACCTCATTGGTGTCCACTCTGCATTTAGTTCCTATCATGTGCAGACCACACTAATCAATGTTTAAAAATCTCTGCACATAATTGACTAGTGTCTATTTCCAGGTCCTTCCCCATGACTTAATCTCTACCACCACCCACCCACTCACCCCACCTCAACAATACTCAAAATGTTCTCCAACTCTTTTCACCTACCCATAATTTTGTTCATCAAAATTGATTTTTGAAAATGTAACTGCCTCCTGGAAGTTTACTCTGACCACTTTCCTCCGTTTGACCACTCTCCTCTGTCTCTTCTGCCATCAGTATTAGGGAATTTACTTTTTTGTACAACAAACTTTTCTTGGGTTCCCAATGGGTGCCAAGTAACGTGATAAATGAGAGTGTACCAAGATGAAAAGCATACATGTTTAATAGTTCACACTACAATATTGTGCTTCTGTTGACAACACACACAATTTCAGTCGTCTCCTTTCCCAAAAATAGCTTCATCCATTCCATGTGCTTTCCAGTTTCCTTGTTTTTCTTTAAAGATTGGGACCTGTGCTAACAACTGTTGCCAATCTTTTTTTTTCCCCCTGCTTTTTCTCCCCAAATCCCCTCAGTACATAGTTGTATATTTTTTAGTTGTGGGTCCTTCTGGTTGTGGCATGTGGGACGCTGCCTCAGCATGGCCTAACAAGTGGTGCCATGTCCGCGCCCAGGGTTTGAACCAGCGAAACCCTGGGCAGCCAAAGTGGAGTGTGAACTTAACCACTCGGCCATGGGGCCGGCCCCTGCTTTCCAGTTTTGAAGGGCTTTCCTCTCTGTTGTTAGTGTGTGAAAGTTTAATCCTGCAATCATATTAGGAACTCCAGAAAGGCAGGGACCAGGGTTTTTATTTCATAGTGATACCTTCCTCCCCTGACACTGAGATGCAATTTTAGCCTGTGTTGCTTGGACTTGCATGAATTTGGGGGTCTCTGCCTCTAGCCCTTTAGAAAGTACAAAAGGAGTCTAAAGAAAGGTGCAGGGCCAGCCCGATGGCGCAGCAGTTAAGTTCAAACGATCTGCTTCGGCGGCCCACGGTTTGCCGGTTCGGATCCCGGCAGACATGGCACGGCTTGGCAAGCCATGCTGTGGTAGGCATCCCACATATAAAGTAGAGGAAGATGGGCACAGATCTTAGCTTAGCGCCAGTCTTCCTCGGCAAAAAGAGAGGATTGGCAGCAGATGTTAGCTCAGGGCTAATGTTCCTCAAAAAAAAAAAAAAGAAAAGAAAAAAAAGAAAGGTGCAAAGTCTGGTTGGAAACTGTGAAAGACTCTAAAAGCTTCCAGAGACCTGGTGAGGCAGCTGATAAGAGAGGTGCAAATGCTCCTACTGCCAGCTTCAAAAGAAATCCAGAGTTAATATACAAGTAGAGAACACATAAACATTTCCTCTGACTATCCTTGTTGTCCCTTGTACCATTATGTGGCCTTTTTCACTTCTCTTTTACCTACCAATGCTTCCATGATAATCTACTTCTAAAACTTTTTTATTCTCAGAATCAAACATTGACAAACATTTGAGGCATTCTTGGAGTGTACTAATGTTTTGCCTAAATGCTCTTCAATGGGATATTACCAATAAAGTTTCTACATGAGGACAGGGGTCTCTGGGACCAACAAGGTGAAAACAGAATCCCCACCCCATAGCAGAAGAGGTCAGAATAAGAGAGTCAATGTCAAAAGGAACCTCCCAGAGGATGGAGCCGGGGATGTGGAGAACGAGGGCAAGAGAGTTCCCATCAGAGAGCAGAATCAGGGTCTAACTGAGAAACTTTCACCATTGCCAGGATAGAGGGTCTTCAGAATGCCTATCCAGCAGAATTTCATCATTGCTACCAACTCGTGACCTCTGAGGTGATTCCCTGTTCCTGTTTTTCAAATTAGAATGTATTATGGTTATTACGCCCTACCATTGTACATGGTTCACATGAATTACCTAGTCTCATCTAGTCTTTTAGTTTTTTATCACCAGATCACAAGGAGTCACACCCAGACCATTGAGGAGAACAGTGAATCACCCAGAGATCTCTGACCATGAGCTGGTGCAATGATTGCCTTGACTCTGAGTTGACTCCCTTGGGAAAGGTCTGAGTATGCTCTGTGTTTGGGAAGGGTACGTTATGGATATTAGGGCCAGAGCAGACAGTGTGATAGAAACAGCTCTGGCCCACCCAAATGAGTGCTCCTGCTTCCATAGTATGAAGTTGTTACTGGGAGGGGGGCTTCCTAGTCTGGATCTATGTTTCCCAACTGCCCCTTACATCTAAGCAGACCATGAATTGCTTGGTCCCACTCCTAGCATTTCTGATTCACTAGGTCTGGGATGGATTCTGAGAATTTGCATTTCTAGCTGGTTCCATGATCATGCTGGTACTGCTGGTGGTTGATGACCATGTGAGAGCTGGTATACTATACCCTCTTTGTAGCTGATGCAGCCCCTCAAGCTGGCTTTCCTCATTCTGAGTACAGCAAACACGGAGTCTTAGTTTAGGTTGAGACAGGGGCAGCCCTAGGCATATATTCTAGGACACTGACACATCAGTATTTGTAACAACCGCAGTAAACAGAACTCTCACTGAGTCAGTTTCATTTTTCTCAAGATAGCAATATTGCCAGGAAAAACTGCTTTTCCTTTCCGGTTTCTATTTTGCAATCATACCGTGTTTTCTCACAACTGTTAGAACCCTATCGTGGTAGCATTATACACAGGCACTGGCCACACAGATTTCTGAAGAGTAAATCAGTACCTTTAGGCACTTTCAAAACTCACTGACCATGTGCCTTCTCTGTGCTTCTCCCCAGCCAGTACCTTTATTAATAAGATTTAAACATTTCTATACAATAGTTTTCTTGAACGCAAATTCCAAAAGACAAAACAAAACCCACAATGTTCCTAGTTTCATATTTCAGCATTTCTTGTAATTTGACATACATTTCTATAAATACATAATAGAATTTGTAAATAGAACTAAGAACTTGTAACTCTTGAGTGAGATCTAAAAGTAAGGTTTTCCAACTGGGATAGGCTTAGCTGTGTATTCTAATAAAAGGGTAGAGGATTGTCAAGAAGCATAGCTTCTGCTTCCACGCTGCCCAAAGCAGAAAAATCCACAATAATGAATGCTTTCTCCAAGACTGAATAGCCCACCTTAGCAACCTCAGTTTTATCAGAGAATATGTTTCACCTATGCTCTGTGTAATTTCCTGACCTCAAAGACACCTGGTGCTATTACCTTTTTTCCCTTGGGTCTATGTACATTGTAATCCCTTTGTGATTAAGTGTATGAATAAGAAAAAAGCAAAGAAATCACATTTCTTCTATCATAACAAATCGCTATGGCTGCAAATTGCCATGTGTGAGTGCTGAATACCAGGGTAACCCATGGAGATTTAAAATGTTATTGAGCTCAGGGAAGCCAAGAATGTGCAGAGATGTTAGGAATTGTTTGGCTTAGATTAGTGGTCATGATGGATTGTGGAATGTTAGAGGAACTAAAGCTCTGGAAAAAGCAAACATAAAAAGTTTCCCTTCTGGTCTCTTTGGGTAATGATTTTAGTTCTTAATTATAATAAACACTAACATTTACTTATGTGCCAGGCCTTATTCTAAGGATATTATGTATTAACCCATTTGGTCCTCACAACACCATTATGAATTGGTAGCAGTATTATCCCCATTTCTCAGGAGAACAAACTAGAACACAGAGACTTTAATAATTTCCACAGTGCCACAGCATATAAATGGAGCCTGGTTTCAACTCCAGGTAGACTGACATCAGAGCCCATGGTTCTAATCAGGTATTCATTCATGCAACTACATTTTGAATGCCTGCCATGTGCCAGGTATTATTGCAGGGACTGGAGGTTCAGCAGTGAATGAAACAGATGAAAACTCCTGCCCTGTGGAGGTCACATAACTGCTCCTTACAGTGGCCTGCAGGACACATTGGTAATAAGGGTGGGCACGGTGAGGATGGGTTAACATTGCAATAATGAGGCAGGGTGCTTGGTAAATGTATCCTTCTCCAAGTTGGGCTCCCTCCTTCAGCTGATCTAAGACATGATATAGTTCACAAAGAGGAAGTTCTTCTGACTCACTGCATAGAGTGGGGGTAGGGGCCCCAAATGGTCTTGCCTCTTACTCAAGATTCATTTTCTCTTAGAGCTCTGCCAATTTCACTTTCCAGTTTCAATTTCTCTGGCCTAAAATCAATTGCAGAGGAAATGAGGCTAAGGAATCAGGTGATGCTTCCATATATAGGTCTCTGTGGCAATTACTTGAGGCAGAGGAGATTTCTGAAGAGCACAGTAGCCTAAACTGCAGCCTTTCAGAACAGCTGAGAAGTTCACGGCAATCATGGGGTAAGGATTCTCCCTTCTCTAATCTCTGTGAAAATGTCTAATCAATCTTAATGTGGAATGCGAATCCTAAACAGCCGTGCTCCAATGAACGCAAGTTCCAGAATTGTTTTGCTTTAGGGTTTGTTTATAGCCTTACCACCTACTGGGGAAGCTGAGCGCTGAGGTCAGAGAGGAGTGAGGCAGGAAGGAAGGGGGCAGAGACAGAGCGATGTTTAATCAGGCAGGTGCTTCATTTAAAGTTGGGGTCTGGGGGAGTTGCTCCTTTAGACTGTCTCTCTTTTGTTTCTTATTTGAAAGGATTAAGTGAGGGGCTTTTAATAAGATTCTCATCTAACAAAAGATCTCTTTTTTAGCAGATATTGTTAAAAATGTATTCAAGGTAAGCAACCCTACTTCATGCTAAGGTGGATATTACTTTTAATGTGTTCATTCATTTCAGATTTGTCTTACGGCTGGTAAAATGTATTCATTCATTCAACCAAAATATATTTTACCCCAAAATTCTACTGATTGGCTAAAGTCCTCCCATCTGAATTATGAATTGGAAATGGAGTGCTTGGAGAAAATAGTCCCCACCTCTAAAATCCTCTCACACTCCGGCAACATAAGATTGCCCTGGGGAGGAAGTGTTAGCTCATTGGGTAGGAAGCAGCTTTCTGTTTTCTCCAGTTTGAGGGTGAGGATGCCTAAGCCTCAGTCTTGGGGGCTTACAGAATCCAGCAACACCAGCCCCATCTCTTACTTCCTAGGGCACACAGTACGCTCCTTCTATAAGTTTCCTGATCTCTCTTCTAGAAACAATATTTTTTTTGCTAATATGCATGTCTGCCTGATAGAAAAAAAACATATTTGAGGTATTTCCAGATGTCTGTTTCTACAGTAACTCAGAATCTTTAGAATCCTTGTTCCTATTTCTTAGAATTTTAGTATGATCTTCTCTTAGAATTTTTGCCATAATAATACAGACTTATCGGTCTTTCTTGTAATTTTCTTTGATTCTTTAGCTATCGGCTCTGTCACCAGGCATTGCCCCTGTGCTCTAAGACAGTGGTTCTCAATTTTGAGCATGCCTAAGAGTTTACACCTGGAGAGTTTACAAGATGGATTCCTGGGCTCAAGCCCCTACCCCAGATCTGATTTGGTAGTTCTAAGTTGGGATCCAAGGAGGCACATTTCTAACAGGCTCCTGAGTGGTACTGGTACTGCTCTAAGACACTGTGGTGGCAGCATCAGATCTGAGCCTGGCAAATGGTGACACTGTGGCTTTCATCCAGACAAGAGGCAGGGGACGAAATTATTGTGGTTGTGTAAACAGTTGGAACTTCTAGAGCTATCAGGAGTAGAAGTCTGACAAGTCTGAGTCCAGGAAGCAAGTATCTGGGACCAGCCTCTGATTTACCAGTGGAAATAAAAACCCATAACCACACAGTGCAATTGGATGCCTTTTGAATGGCTGCTCAAAGGGATTTTATCTAAGTGTATATATTAAATGTCTCTATCCTGCAAATGCACAACTAACCATATGTTTTTGTTTTATATGTTAGAGATCATTTCAACTGTATTCGCTCTCTTTGTAACTTTTATAAAATGAGACAGGAGCTAAAGAGCTTATGTGCTAAGGGAATCTTCCTGTAACCTCACTGAGAAGGAAAGTAGATCAGATTGGACATGAACTTTTCAAGGGAAGACTGCTGTCATTACAACGCCAGATACCAAGGCAGGCACTCTCTTGGGCTCCCTGCCCCCTCCCCCCATGTTACATGGAGAGGCTCAGACAACCTGGATCTTCGCTAAGACCTGCCCCGGGCTTTTAAAGGACAGTGGGTCCTTCCCTGAGCAGAAACTCCTACCCATTTTCCCTCCTGTTTTTTGTTTATTCTGCTCGAGGGAGTTAAGTCTCCACTTGTTTCAAGTAACAGATATGAGCAGGAACTGATTTAAAGTTCCTGGAATGGCTGACAGGACCTATGCATAGGTCTATAGCAACCCCAGGAGGAGTAGAACGAACACTGGAGAGCTTGAGGGACCCAGACTCTGTGTCTTCTCCGTGTGCATCTGGGTCACTCACTCTGCACGATATATTATGGAATATGGTCACCATCAGACCACCAGCATGCACAGCACTCTTTTTAACATGTAAAAACGGGCTTTAGCTCCCTCACTCCCTCTCAGTTTCGTTTCCAGCTTTCACTTGAGTTTGGGTGCCCAGCCCTGGTCCAATCAAATTAGGGGATGGAAGGGGGCTATAAAAAGTGAAAGATAGGGGGCAGGAAGAAAATGGGGGAATAGAATTTTCCATTTGGACAAGTATTTCAAAAGTGATCCTTGCCACATAACATGACTTCCCAGATGTCTACTGGTTCTCTATGTCAGAATCCATAATATTTAGAATATCAGCTCCTGATAAAAGAGTTAATTCATATATACCATGAAAAAAACCTTTTTTTAAGTGAGAAAAAGCTAAATTTCAGGTATTTTAATACATAGATAATGTAGAGAAACAATTTTAGGCAATTAATGATTTTTAACCTACACATTTCCAAAGTTATTCAAGATGAGCTTTTTGTTTATTTGTTTGTTGTTTCTATTTGGTTGGTTTTGCATATTTGTTTGTCTGTTTGTTTCTTTTGAGGATCAACACAAAAGAGAATGGAAAATCTTTCCAGAAGAGTTGCAAGGGCACTAAAGGAAAAAGAGCATTTTCCATAAGAAAAGATGCTAGCTGTCTTGTGGGCCTCCTCCTGTAGCCACACTTCTAACCCCATTATGAAAGCAAACCACAGGAGAGCAACAATAAAATTTCAAAAGAAAATTAAAGCAACAAATGTAGAATTATTAATAGATTAATTCAATGAGACATGCTAAGAACAGAAATCACCAGGCTAAGAAGTAGAGGGGGGAGGGGGGAGCAAAAATTGATTATATTTTATTCCAAAATAAAATTTTAAGACATTGCTAACATATATAATAATAATAAAAAAGTTAGGAGGTAGAATAATACAAAAGCAGGGGAAATGAGTAAAAATTAAGAGTGGTTGAAAATAAGATTTAAATGGTTAAGATGGCAAAGTTAGGAAAAAATGAGAATATAGAATGTCAAAATAATAAAAAGACAAAAACAATTTAATAGAAAAATTTGGATAAACAAAAAGAATCAATTAAAGATATATGACAAGCTCAAATAATTAGACAGGAAATAGAAAGTAATAAAGATTTAAAAAGACAAATTAAGGAGAACTAAGGAATTAAAAATATAGAAGACAAAAAATGGAGTTGAATTTCAGATGGATAAAAAGAGATTAAAATCAGGATGGCAAAACATTAAAAGAATAGAAAATTATACAATTAAAATTTCAAAATACAAAAGTAAATGCTAGGTAAAAATGAAGAACAGAAACAAAAAGCAAGTAAATAGACTTAAAAATTACCTAAAATCTAACCTCTGCTGAAACCACTTCCCTCAGATTTGGCAGCCCCTGCAGAGGCCCTCGTAAGCAGAAAGCGGAGGGCCAGCACTACCTCACAAAAACTGCCTTACTCAGGAAAACAGCCCGAGGCTCAGAGACCTGCCCACTCCCTCCCCCTAACTCTTTTGCTGCTATTGTCACCCATTCCTGCTTCCGTCAGCATTTAACACAGGCCAAAATATAGAAAGAGAAAAAAAGAATTTTCCTTTTTGATTGGAGCAAACGCCCTTTAGGAGGAAAAGAATCCTATTTGCCATACTCCCCATTTCTTGCCAACCGAATCTGCGCTATGTCTCAAAATGTCCATCTTTGTGTTTTTCCCTACAGTGAGACCACAAAGAACTCCTTGGAGAGCAGCCTGAGGCAACTAAAATGCCATTTCACCTGGAACTTGTTAGAAGGAGAAAAGTCCTTGGATAATTTTGAAGACCGAGTGTGTAACCAAATTGAGTTTCAGAACAGTGAATTCAAAGCCACGATGTACAATATATCGGCCTACATAAAACACCACAGAGGCCAAAACGAGGCAGCCCTGGAGTGCTTACGGCAAGCTGAGGAGTTAATCCAGCGAGAGCACGCTGACCAAGCAGAAATCAGAAGTCTGGTCACCTGGGGAAACTATGCCTGGGTCTATTATCACATGGGCAGACTCTTGGAAGCTCAGATTTATGTAGACAAGGTGAAACAAGTGTGCAAGAAGTTTTCCAGCCATTATAGAATTGAAAGACCTGAAATAGATTGTGAGGAAGGGTGGTCACGGTTAAAGTGTGGAGGAAACCAAAATGAAAGGGCAAAAGCATGTTTTCAGAAGGCTCTGGAAAAGAACCCAAAGAACCCAGAATTCACCCCTGGATTGGCAATTGCGAGCTACCGTCTAGATAACTGGCCACTGCCTCAGAATCCCGTTGACTCTCTGAGGCAAGCCATTTCGCTGAATCCTGACAACCAGTATGTTAAAGTCCTCTTGGCTCTTAAACTTCAACAGCTGGGCGAAGAAGGTGAAGGAGAGAGGTTAGTTGAAGAAGCTTTGGAGAAAGCCCCGCATGCAACAGATGTGCTTCGCAGTGCAGCAAGGCTGTATCGAAGCAAAGGTGCCCTGGACAAAGCTATAGAACTGCTTAGAAAGGCTGTAGAATGCATGCCAAACAATGCCCACCTGCATTACCATATTGGGTGCTGCTATAGGGCAAAACTCCTCGAAATACAGAAGGTAGGAGAGAATGAGGTGTACGGGAAAAGAGAGAAGGTACAGGAACTAATAAGACGAGCTGTGGATCATTTAAAGAAAGCTGATGAGATCAATGGAAATCTCTCTCATGCCTGCTCCTATCTTGCCTGCCTCTATGCACAAGCAGGGCAGTATGAGGAAGCAGAGTATTACTTCCAAAAAGAATTCAGCAAAGAGCTTACTTCTGTAGCCAAACAAGTGCTCCATCTGCGATATGGCAACTTTCAGCTGTATCAAATGAAGTGTGAAGACAAGGCCATCCTCCATTTTATAGAGGGTGTGAAAATAAACCAGGAGTCCAAGGAGAAAGAAAAGATGAAAAACAAGCTGGAAAAAATTGCCCAAACCAGACTGTCTAGAAACAGAGCTGATTCTGAGGCTTTGCATCTCTTGGCATTTCTTCAGGAGGTAAACGGAGAAACGGGACAAGCAGATGAAAACTCTGAAAGGGATTTGGACTCTGGAAGCCTCATGCCTTCAGCATCTTTAGCTGAGGAATGAGGAACCTGGACATGGCGCCCTCAGGGCTACTGCTAGAAGGGAGCTGAAACCCCTCAACCAAGTTCGTATTCAAAATATTTAACAACTGGTGTGTCATAGGCATGCACTAAGACACTGGCCACCGTACTAGATCAGGGTTATGGAGAATTCTTCTGGGCCAGGTGTTAACACTTGAATTGCTCAAGGAGTTCTGGGACAGGCATTAGGTTGGGGGTAGGTCCTGGGGCTTGGTAAAGGGGCTATTTTCCAATGGAATTCTTGGGATCGGTTTGCACAGGGACATTTGCTTAGTCACCCTGCATAGGGTGATGCCTGGGGTATGTTTCTATGTTGATATAAAGCAGCCAGATTGCTCACACCGGTAGCAATGTGGTCCATTTTTACAATGTTTTTCCATCCTTGGAGTCGTTTTAGATCCTGTACAGCTCAGCCCTGCATAGGCACTAATGTGCTGCGTCCATCCAAAGGCTGGAGGAACAAAGCTTAGAGAGGGCTTGGTGTCCCCTCTCTCACTTCTGCCTCCTTCCCCCTTCTCCTCCCCAGGCAATCCTCAATCTAGACTCTCCTACATAACATGGGTTCAAGTGTCCCATTAACTGAGGTGGGAACATAGTTTGAAAAAAAGAGCAGAGAACAGGTCAAATCTAGAAGGCACATATCTAGCAGAAGCAATGTGGTCCAGGCAACCACAATAGCAGAGTTTCAGGAGCCACGCAGGGAAATTTTACCTCCTCTCTGCCCTGCCTGGAATCATAATACAGCATGTGAAGAACAAAAGAAAGAGGATTCAAATCTTCAGGGAAACCACAAAATTCATGGTATGCTTGTGGTCATTGGGATTTTCTAGGTAAATACTGCATGACCTGAAACATCAAGGTTAGTGTGAAGCAAAACAGAGTCAGCTGGGCCAGCATGAGATCACCAGCCACCCTCTGGGTTGCAAAATGTTTGCCTGTTGGAATTAGCTTAAATTTAAATGGTGGTTACCAGGGCCTGGGGGTGGGGGAATGGGAGAGATGTTGTTTAAGGGTATAAAGTTGCAAACTTGTGGATAAGTCCTAGAGATCTAATTAATGCACACTATAGTGATTATAGGCACAATGTTGTATTAGAATCATCAAACTTACTAAGAGATAAGATCTCAATTATTCCCACCACAAAAAAAGAAATGATAATTACATGGTGTAATAGAGATTCTATCACTACAATGACAATCATATTACAATATAAAAATGCATCAAATTAACATGTTGTACACGTTAAATTTACAGAATGTTATATGTCAAATTATATTTCAATTAGTTTAAATAGATATTAACATTTTATTAAGCAATTAAAGCATTATACTATAAAATTCAAGCTGTTTTTAAATTAAATTCTAACTGGAACACGGTTTTCATGTTATTATCTGTATTAAAAATAGTGTGTGTGCACTTGAGATTATCAATATGCAAAGTATGGATTCCTGAAAAAATACACAGATTTAATTAATAAATAACTTAGGTGTGATGGAACATAAACAAGTGTTCTGGTTTTTCTGAAATTTTGCTGTACCTTAAGTCTTCCAGACTCAGCTACGCATAAATGAAACATTACCCTGGGGATGAACTGGCTCCATAGAACCCAGACTGGTCTACTATCATGACCACTGAACAAAAGAAACATTTTTTTCTACAGCCTTAAGAGTCCAGGCTTACCCTGACACCCACCACCACACAGCTTCATATACACAAATACCCTGTCCCCACACTGACAGAGGGTGGGTTGCTGCCCTTCTCTGTTATATCTTGTTAACATCCTGTGTCCACATTCTCTGTCCTCTTCTGAGCCTTCATTATGAGAAATGAGGAAGTGTGGCCAATTCTGTTATGCCCCCTCCTGGAGGCATTCTAAAGGATGTTGGAGAGTTTTCCCTATTAAGTACAAAATAGAAAGAGACACAAAGCCCTGAAGTTGCTCTTGTTTGTCAAGAGGCCTCTGGTGGAAAACACAATTCATACCAGCTGCAAAGGTAAACTCATTCCATTGGACTGAATTGGACAAGCGTCCATCTCGGGGAAAGGTTCAGCTCACTTTGCCTGAGTGACTTATTATTGGATCTGGTGCCTGGGGAGGAAAACCAGGAATGTTCTGAGTGGAAGGTAAGATGGGCAGGTAAGCTGACCTTGAGAGAGGACCACTGGCACCTGTAGAGGGCTAAAGAAGGTACACCAGGTGTATGTAATCTTGTCATTGCATGGCATGCCACCCAAACCCTTGCTGGAACAGGACCCTGAAAGGAAAGAGGAGGAAAGGCTAGGGAAGAGGTGTATGACATATTATACTTGATATTTAATTGAAGACTTAAAGCTAACAGAAATGACTGAAAAACAATAAGGAAAATTATGAGCGTAGCTCATGTTTCCTGAAATCTCATTATCAGGGATAAGAAATGAGCCACATCAATTGGAATGACTTGAATTCCCTGGCTCTTAACCACACCTCCCAGTGCAGGACGTTTGACTCCCCTCATATCCTCACCCAGGTAGATAACAAGCCCCCAGTAGGTGTCTCCTCGGTGTTGATGAACAAGTCCGTCAGAATCATCTAATCACATCTGCTATGGGTATTGCTCCAGCACCCACACCCATCAATGTCCTCTGTCCTCAAAACTGCTTCAACACATCTCATCATTCTCTGTATTTGACTGCCACCTTCAGAGTACTGATATCCCTGCCAAAAATGTTCTCAAGTGTCTCAGTGCCCATGAAGGCAGGAGGAACATTTCTCTCATTCCTGTCTGTGTTCCAAGTACTACTAATTACTCCTCAGCCTCAGAGTCCTCAGTGAAAGATTCATCAGGCTCTGCTAGTAGCCCCTTTTTCCGTAGGGCTCAAACACAGTCCCTGGGGCAGCCAACCTTGAGTCATGCTCCACTTTCATCTTTCCTCCCACCTCTGGTCAACTGACTTGCACAATCTGCTTCCACTAAGACCAGAAGCATGGAAGTGTTAGAATCCTAAAGATAAACAGAAATAAGACTGTTAGGATCCTTACCATGTGCATCTTCAACCTTGGATGCCAATCTGGGAAATGTGGGTTCCAAGTAGAGACCACATGCTCCTGTTTCCTCCCTTCCTCCACCATTTCCTCCATCATTTATTTTGGGGGAGCGACTAACTTAATTTGACTAATTCGACATTTTCCATAGAATTTACAGAGCAGCTGCCTCCTTGCTGGTAATCTACACCTTCTTGGGAGGCTGCAAACAGGGAAGCTGACTAATATCTCTAATGTAAACTGGTGCAATGACTTTGGAAAACAGTCTGGAAGCTCCTCAGACGGTTTAATGTCGAGTTACCATATAACACAGCAATTCCATCCCTAGGTATATACCCAAAGAGAAATGAAAACATATTCACCTAAACTTGTATATGAATGTTCATAGGAGCATTATTTATAATATTCAAAAGTGGATCCATCAACCAATGAACTGATATATTAAATAATGTACATCCATACAGTGGAGTATTATTTGGTAATACAAATAAATGAAGTACTTACTGATACATGCACAACGCAGCCGAACCTTGAAAACATTAGGCTAAATGAAAGAAGCCAGTCATGAAAGGTCACAGATTATTCGATTCTCTTTACAGGAAATGTCCAGAGGTGGCAAATTTATACAGACACACAGTAGATTAGTGTGTGCCTAGGGCTGGGAGAAAATGAGAGGACTGGAGATGATAGCAAAGGAGTATGGGGTTTCTTTTGGGGGTAATGAGAATGTTCTAAAACTGATTATGGTGACAGTTCATAGCTCTGTGAAATGCTGAAAACTCTTCAATTGCACACTTTGAATGGCTGCATTGTATGGTATGTGAATTATATTTCAATATAGAATAGGGAATGAGCACTCGTTTCAAATGTATAAAAAGAAAGCAAGCTTTTCTTTCATCATCTTCTATTTTTAACTCTAAGTTTGTTTTCATTGTATCATGTCCTTATGACCAGCTTTGTAAATACTGTCATTGCTTTTCACTCAATAGATATGTTAGAGATATTCTGTATTCTATTTTCTGAATAGAGGATGGATATGAAAATCTGTTCCCGCATGATTTTATTTTTAAACACCCATACCCAGGAACCATTCATCAGTAAATTTCCCAAAGGAAGAGTCCAAATGCAGAAGAAAATTTGACTCAATGTCTAAATCTAAATCTACAAGTGTACACGTTTTAGAGTACTGTGAATTTCTTAGTAAGCAGAATGTTATTCAACCACCATACGCAACTGTTGCAAACACCACACTAATTCATGAGTGCTTCTTGAGCCAGGAATTAGAATAAGAAGAGAAGCAAAAAAATAGGCAGCTGGTGCTACTGTGCTGGAAAATAATTCTTCATTATGCAAGAACCTATTACATCCAGGTTGAGAGGAAGGCTTTGACCAGTTCAGTAAATTTTCCTTTACTCTGATCTAACTGCTTCTGCCGCTCACATCTTCTCTGTACTCCAAGCAGTGTCTGTCTCTAAAACCTGCATCCTCACAATGCAGAAACTTTCATGATACAATTCAATTTCCTTTCGTTTTGAGCCAAGAAGTCAAGAGATAGACATACGTTTTCCCTGAGCTGGATGTTCAGGGTTCCAAGTCCAACCGTGCCAGGATTAAGCAACAGATTCTGAGTAACAGAGATGCCATGTGTTCTTTTAAAAATTTACATTTTTTGTGTCTGTGAAATGTGGGGCCCTCTAAAGCACAGCACCAAGGGCAGGGTCCCCTTACTTGGGTGTAAGGGTGGTATTTATACCTTTCATCGTATCACAGTATTTATCAAGTATTGTTTACTTTTATCAAGGTATGTCACTTTATTACTACCAGGATAACAAACTGTTAAGGAAGACAACCAATCAGAATTATAGGTCTTTCCAAGTTGCAGCTCACTTTCACTGGACATGACAACAACCTCTCAACTGAAAGTATCTTACGATACTCCAGTTATTGGAAAACACGTGTGTCAGTTGTGTTATACAGAAGTCTCTGCGTTCTGCAGCTTCAGAATGGAAGGAGCTGTGGGGCATCAGAATTTGCCACCTCCAAATGTGTCTCCTTGGCTTGACTACTTTTTAAGAACAAAAGACTCAGGAAGAAACTTTGACCTTCCCCCTAACTGCCTAAAAGAATGTAAGAGAGAAGGCCTGTTCCTGGAAGGAGCTGATACCGTAAGATAACTATAGCATAATATAAACTAGGGTGATAGACAGGGAGGAACCTAACAAGAACCTTTTTAATGAAAGTTCTCTCCAACTCTCATTGTCTTTGCAAGGCACGGTCAACATTTGTTTATCAACATTTGCCTTTCCACCTCCATGTAAATTGCCTTCTGCCCCTCTGAAGTCTCAAACCACTCTCCACAACATCCTCCTTTGTCCTTAGCTGAAGATGGTATTTAAGGTAGTGGCTTCCACCATTTTGGCAACTTACTCAGATTTCCTGGGTTTCTCCCACGTACGCATGTTATTCATCTCTGTCTAATTTTCTCCTATTATTCTGTCTCATGTCCATTTAATTCTTAGACCAGCCAGAAGGACCTAGAGGGTAGGGGAATGGTTCTTCCTCCCCTACAGAGTCTTTCTCCTACCTAACTGACAATTCCTTCATCAACTCAGACATGAGGACTATACTCCCTAGGTTTTTATGAATATTTACATCATGGCTAGGAAATTTTATAAAAATGAAAAACAAAGTCTCTCAGAGTGATACCACTCCTTCACTGCTTGAAGGATAAATACATAAATTTAGCAGCTAGCCAGCCAGCCATTAAACCATATTACATGTCTTACTACTTCCCATTTTACAGCTGGGAAAACTAAATGACTGCCTTAGACCTCCAAGATTTAAACAGCTTGGAGTTCACTCCAAGGTGGCTTCCTAGATGAGTATGGAGCAAAAAGGAAATTCAGTCTCAGTGATTTGACTCATGGATAACCCCAGAGCTAGTAAACTGAACACAGAATTAAACCTAGGTCTCCAGAAGCAAATTGTCTCCCACAAGTATATTTACTGCATGAAACTACTTTTTACAAAATATTTCTGGAATGGCTTTTCTCACTATGTGGTCCCAGAAACCCCTATAGCAGCATCTCCTACAGCCTTTATTTTAAAATGCAGTTTCCTAGGGCCAAGTCTAGATCTGGACAGAGTCCTGGGAGTGCTTTCATATTCCCTCAAACTATAGTTCAGAGTCACAATTTTTTTTTTTTTTTTTTTGAGGAAGATTAGCCCTGAGCTAACATCTGCTGCCAATTCTCCTCTTTTTGCTGGGGAAGACTGGCCCTGAGCTCCCATCCGTGCCCATCTTCCTCTACTTTATTTGTGGGACGCTTACCACAGCATGGCCTGCTAAGCGGTGCCATGTCTGCACCCGGGATCCCAACCTGTGAACCGTGGGCTGCCAAAGCAGAACGTGCGAACTTAACCTCTGGGCCACCAGCCGGCCCCCAGAGTCATGATTTTAACCAACATACTTCGACTGAGTCTTCAGAGATCTCAACCTTAAGTTTCATTTCCTTCCTCTTGATTTTAGATCAGTTTCACTTTCCAGTTCCCCTTCCCTTTCATAACAGCTCAGAAACAGGGAGAAAGCATCAGCTGATGCATTCCTATTACCCCCACTTTCCATTTATATAGCTTTTGCAGCACTTACTTGAGCCAGACTGGAAAGATTTCCGAAGAGCAAATCAGCTTGGATCCCGGCTTTTCAGAAGAGCAGAGAAGCAGGTGGCAGTCATGAGGTCAGTGAAATACCAATGTATAAGCATCCTTGATCTTGAATGCAAACTGTAAGCTGAGTTTCTCTAGTGTAGGCATGTTTCTGAGTTGTCCTGTTGTTTATGGACTAAACATACCTTTATCAGTATGGGCACTTTTTATTTCTGTTGCTTTTCTAGTATACACACTCAAGCTCCCTAAGCTTCTAGAACTGTTCACTGGGTGGAGCTGGGAGGCAGAAGCTGGGATGTGAGGGAGGCTTGGCAGGAGTGGGTGGATCCAATCAGGCACAATGTTTGCTGATTCAAAGTTCAAATCGAAGGGATTTACTTTCTATGGGCTTTTCTGTTGTTGTTTTCTTTGAAAGGACTAAGAGGCTTTCTTCTTGTAATTTTAAAATAAAGCATTTCTGGGGCCAGCCCAGTAGCACAGTGGTTAAGTTTCCACGTTCCACTGCAGTGGCCTGGGGTTTGCTGGTTCAGATCCTGGGTGTGGACCTATACACTGCTTGTCAAGCCATGCTGTGGCAGGAGTCCCATGTATAAAGTAGAGGAAGATGGGCACGGATGTTAGCTCAGGGCCAGTCTTTCTCAGCAAAATAGAGGAGGATTGGCAGCAGATGTTAGCTCAGGGCTAATCGTCCTCAAAAAAAAAAAAGAAATTTTTCTTTTCAGCAGATATCATTAAAGAAAGAACTGGTAGCGCAAACCCAACTCACGTTGAGTGGAATTTTGCCCTGAAAGTCTGATCAATTCATGGCGGGAAGTGTAAGAAATGATTCCCACAGTTGGGCATTTTTCCATTTCTTATGTAAAAATAAAACTCAAAGCATGGAGTATCTCTTTATATTGCTCTGATGACAGCTGGCTAGCAGCAAAAAACTAATTTATCTTCAAAACATAATGACCTAATCTCTTTTCTAATACTGACCTCATTTCCAGTGATGGAAAGCAGATCAATGGATGCCTGGGGATGGTGGAGACTGGGATTGGGATAGACTAGGAATGCACACCCGGGAATCTCTGTGGGTGATACAAAGAGCCTATAAGGAAATAGTAGTGGTGGTTACATGGGTATATACATTTGTCAAAACTCCTCAAACTGTATACTTAAAATGGGTTCATTTTATTGTATACAAAGTATAATCTTAGTAAACGATTTAAAAAAATATGAATATAGACCTGCTCAAGTTCTGCCATTGGATAGAGCCTCAGGAAAGACTGAGATCAGAGAAAAAAAAGGCTTTCCCATCAAACACCTATGGGGAGGGATTGAGGGCTTGATTGCCTGGGGATGGAGGATCCTAGTGACCACTCAATGACTGAGAGAAGGAAGACCCAAGGGTTCCCAAATGCTCTGCAGGCTCATATTTGGGGATGGTAAGAGGAATTCACTGCCAAGTGCCTCAGGTTACCCTTTTCTACACAATGGATTCCTGGCCATGAGTTATGTTAATTGTGCCTGCACGAATGGGGTTGACCAAATAACTTGACACTGCCCAGAGCCTTGGCAGCCAGTCTGCCCAAGTGGTTTTACAATGACCTGTGCTGGGCGACGGCTGGTGGCGCAGCAGTTAAGTGCACATGTTCCACTTGGGTGGCCCAGGGTTTGCCGGTTGGGATCCCGGGTGCGGACATGGCACCACTTGGCAAGCCATGCTGTGGTAGGCGTCCCACATATAAAGTAGAGGAAGATGGGCACGGATGTGAGCTCAGGGCCAGTCTTCCCCAGCAAAAAGAGGAGAATTGGCAGCAGATGTTAGCTCAGGGCTAATCTCCCTCAAGAAACAAACAAACAAAACAAACAAACAAAAAATACAATGATCTATGCTTGGGTGTGTCAAGAGCCACTGACCTCAGGAAGTCTAATGGGGCTTCTTTGAACCATGTTGGATTGAATCTCACATCAAGCTGCCCTGTGTCCCAGAGGCTGTAGGGACAGGGGGAGGTTGGGCTGCTTCTCCCAGCAGCATTGAAAATTGCCAAAGGGGAAAACCACCTGGGGAACGCCTGTCACCTGCCAGTTGGCTGATGAGTGTCCTCCTCTGCCCCATCCACTAAGAAATTCTGTTTCTTCCTTCACGTACTTAAAATTGTAACACTACTATAGCAGTGATCATGGTGGTAACAGTTTCTATGTGATCAGTAGTTAGTCATGCATTCTATTAAGTGCTTCACTTCCATTATCTCCTATCATCCTCCCAAGAGCCCCAAGAAGGACGAACTGTTATTTTTGTGTGTATGTGAGGAAGATAGGCCCTGAGCTAACATCTGTTGCCAATCTTCCTCATTTTGCTTGAGGAAGATTGTCACTGAGCTAACATCTGTGCCAATATTCCTCTATTTTATATGGCATGCTGCCACAGCATTGCTTGACAAGTGGTGCTAGGTCTATGCCCAGGATCCGAACCTGCAAACCCCGGGCCACCAAAGTGGAGAATGCAAACTTAACCTCTATGCCACTGGGCCAGCCCCTAGGACTATTATTTTTTCATTAGGCTTATTTTCTACATGAGCCAAATAGGGCTCAGAGGGCAAACTACTTGCCCAGGAGGTCAGGTGGAGTGTCTGAGGTCCCAAAGTCTAGTGCTGAGCATTTTATGCCTCTGTGTTCAAAGGCCAAAAGGGTGAAATGTCTTAATGCTTTGGTGACTCCCTAGAGTGCCCAGAGCCATACCTTAGAAGGTAAATGTGGATCTCCCCAGGGCATAGTTTTCTTATAGTTTGGATGGAAGGAAAAAGGAAATGCATTCCAGGACAATTTAAAAGTGAGAAAATGAGGCAAAGTGATATCACTCAACAAATATCCCAGAGGTAGTCAAAGAGATAACCAAAATCGAGGTGTCCTGTGGTTATTTTCCTCTATTCTAGATTGTCTGACTCACTGTTTGATACATTACATTGTTACCACCCAAAGGGCATGATCTGCTCACTGGGAGACAAAAGCGAATTGTCAAGAGGCAAGACAGTGGCAGAAACAGGGCATTTTATTACAACTTGCTAGCAAAGGGGAAGATGGCCGACTGATTTCAAAAATTGCCATCTTAAGGGAGACACAGAATCTAGAAGCAGTTATATAGGCCAGTGGGAGGGGGTTAGGAGTGTTGACCTAGGATTTGCCACACCAGATCTTTCAGTTTTCACTGATGATGGCTATCAGTATAGACTCTCTGTTCAGGGGGTCATCACATTCCTAAGGAACTCAAAAGAACGAAGTTATCATCTTATCACAGCTAGGAGGTATGTGCACAAGCATCAGTCATAAAATCTACAGAGCAGGCAGATCTCCTGGAGGGTGCAAATCCAGCTGGGTTAGTTAGTCAGAAGTCATTCAAAGTACTATATGGTTTCTTTTCTACAATATGGCTTCCCCTATGTCAACCTTATGTTGAGCTGGTATCAACATTATCTCCCACAAGTAAACAGGAAACTGCTTTTCAAAATATCTCGAGGACCGTGCTTCTCAAAATGTGGTACAGGACTCCTGCAACACAATTTCCACAGTGCTTATAAAAATGCAGATTCCTGAGCCCAAGCCTACCCCCAGAGTACATCAGAATCTCTGGGAGTAGGGCCTATAATCTGTGAGGGATCTTTTTTTTTTTTTTGAGGAAGATTAGCCCTGAGCTAACTACTGCCAATCCTCCTCTTTTTGCTGAGGAAGACTGGCCCTGAGCTAACATCCATGCCCATCTTCCTTTACTTTATACGTGGGATGCCTACCACACCATGGGCTTTGCCAAGCATTGCCATGTCTGCACCCAGGATCTGAACCGGTGAACCTCTGGCCACTGAGAAGCAGAACATGCGAATTTAACCACTGTGCCAGCCCCTGTAAGGGATCTATAATGCCTTTTTTTTTTACAAACTCTTTTAGGGGAGGAAGAACATTTCCTCTACTCACTCTAGGTCCTTCTGGCTGGGCTATGAACTAAATTGACATGAGACAGAATAACAGGAGAAAATCAAACAAAGCTTTATAACACATGTACATGGGAGACACTCAGGAAAATGGAGCAACTCACCAAAATGGCAGAAGATCTCATCTTAAATACTATCTTCAGCAAAAGACAAAGGAGGAAGTTGGGGTAGGGGGAAGTCAGTTATGGGAGATTACCATAAAGCACAGTAAACAAGAATAAGGTTATTATGCAGATTTAAGTTGTTGCCCTTCACATTGATAAGAGTTTCTAGAAATAAGGTCATCCCCCTTTCTTCCTGGTACAGAGAGAGTGATACCCTTACAGATGGAAATTTCCCTTACAAATGTAAATGTCTCTTACAAAGGGTAAATTTTACTTTTGGGAGCTTCTCCCACGTCTGCAGTTTTTAAAAGTAACCTCCAAAATAATCCTTATGCCAGAGGCACATTTTGGGGTGGCCAAATGTGATCCCCTACACTCTCAAACACAGTTAAGAATCTGTGTATGGGGCTGGCCCCGTGGCTGAGTGGTTAAGTTCGCGCACTCTGCTGCAGGCGGCCAGGTGTTTCCTCGGTTCGAATCCTGGGCATGGACGTGGCACTGCTCATCAAACCACACTGAGGCGGCGTCCCACATGCCACAACTAGAAGGACCCACAACTAAGAATATACAACTGTGTAAAGGGGGCTTTGGGGAGAAAAAGGAAAAAAAATAAATCTTTGGGGAAAAAAAAAGAAATCTGTGTAGAACAATATCCCCAGCAGAGAATAAACTCAGCTCTCACACATTCAGTTTCAGTTTCTCCTCAACAGAAATCCAGACAACATTGCATCGGTTTCGTTTTCCTTTTCTCCTTCATAAAAGCACACACGTAAGGGAGAGCGTCCTAGGTGGAAATCTCTTCAGCATTTGCTTGCAACGCACAAGCAGAAAATAAAATCAGCCTGGACCCCAGCTTTTCAGAATAGCAAGGGAACAGCTGTCATGAGGTAAATATTCCCTGCTTCTCTGATAGGAAGTTGTGAATTTCTCACAAATCTTGTTCTTGCATCCAACTTCCTGAAGTATGCTGATTCAGTGTTTGCTTATAAATATGCATTT